TCTAGGACATCTTTTGGTTCAATGTTAATATCAAATATTTTAGGTGGTGCTGAAAAGAGAGAATAAAAACATCAGACAAGATGTTGATTAATATATAGAGATAGATAGATATATATATTTGTGTAAAAAAAGTTCCCGTCTTGTCAATGATCACTTGAGTAATCAGTTCTAGTTCTCTAAATATAAAATAGCTAATTTTCTAATTAAATCTAATAATAAGAGTAAAAATTTTATTTTAATGTATGTCTGGAGATTTTTTTCTTTTTGTTTTATTTTTCTTTTTTCAATTTTTAGTTTTAACTTGATGGTCACACGACAACTAAGTGTGTTTTACTAAAAGCAACTATATCATTAATAAGTAATATAGAAAACAGACAACTTATGATAAATGAGCCTACTACAACATAGAGAAAGAGAGAGAGAGAGATCATTACATCAACGGCATGAAACAAAAAAATTTATTCATATACACTTGATTTTGTAGACTATGAATGTATTGAGAGGAAACAAGTCAAAAAAGACAAAAAAAAAAGAAATAATAATACAATTGTTGTTTTATATGTGCTGAGTCAGATCAATTATGAAATATAGAACTGCCCTCGAGTCAAAAAATCTCGATTACACAATACATTTTTTTGCAGGTCTAAATAACATTTTCTTTTTTAAGGAAATCAAACTAACAAAAACTTCATTAATAAAAAGACAAAGAAATCGGATATAGTGTAATCAACAGTAATCGATTGTAACAATGACTTTGTCTTTCTCTACTACTTTTGTTACATCAAAAATCGACTATATAATAGAGATAAATCACAAAAAGAACTTTAGAAATCTTCTAAATAACACGTTTCTTATCTCATACATAACATAATAATAGAGACTAGTCAATATTTTGAACTTTAGATTGATTAAATTGTTCAAATAAAGTTTAAAATGGTAAAATAGAATTAATTTTTTTATCCATTTTATTATTATTATTATTATTATTATGATGATGATGATATCATATTCGTAAATGTAATTTATTTATCTTTTTATTTATTTCTCTAACAATCAATTCACATGAGTAATTCAATTCGTTTTATATATGTACAATCAAATAAGTTTATGACTAGAATTAATGTATCCCTATGGAATAGTCAATTTAGTACGACATGTATATAGTACGATTGTCAACTAGAACACAAAACAAAGAAGAAATGAAATGAAATGAAATGAAATGAAATGAAATAAAATATACACGTATTGTGTATGATGAATGTGACTAAATATCCGTATTTATTCTTTCACTAATGAATATTAAACAAGGACAAAAAAAAATAGAAACGGACAAGAATGGACATATGTTGTTTCTTTCATGTGTGAAAGAGAAAACCGGAAAAAGCAGAAAAAATTTGTCATTCTAGTTTAAAAATGTCGAAATAGTAGTGGTGGCAATGAGAATCTATAATCATTAGTATCATTCTATTATTTATTTTTTTTTTTTATCACACAAATATGTTTTGCACTTGAACGTTATCGTTATTCATTCATCAGTCTCGTCGACAAATAATAACACTTACTTTTTGTATACATTTATATATCAGACTATAGTAAAACAAAACAAAAAAAAAAAAATTACGACAATAGAAGATGAAGAAACTTCTCACCTTGTTAAGTATGAGAGTATACCAGTGTAATAAAAAATCTATTTCTAGCTGTTTATCGGCATGTTTTACAAATACTTGAAAATAATAAAACGAAAATAGATGTTAAATGATCAAGATACAAGAGAAAATGATATCAATTGAAAATTAACATTCTTATTATGTAATTGATTTGATTTGTATAGATTGTCAATATACTCTCAACGAAACATGTTTCATACAATTTAAATATACAACATTTTAGTATATGTATGTTATCTATCGATTCTTCTTTATAAACTACAAAGTGATTCATTTTATTTTTTAAATTTTTTTTGTAAATATATTACCAAAATTGTCTAAATAAACAATCAATGATATGTAGAAATATTTCATTTCTATCGAGATCTATCTACTTATTTATGTTGTATTTCTATTGCTTAGGGCAAATTATTTTGTCTGTTGTAATGAATACTCAAAAATTGAAATAATCATCTGACCGTAGACTTATGCAATGTTAGAATCGACAGACTGTATATTTATTTTGTATATAACTTAGATGAAACGATTGAATTGTTTATAGATTATTTCATGCGTATATAAGACTATCGTGACTTGTGTGTTTTTTTACATTTTTTTTTTTTAAAAGTCACTATAATCATAAAAGTTTACAAAATCATGCATAAAAGAATAAAATTGTTTTAACCTTGAGCAATAAAATTGTGTTGTATCTTTTAATATGACACGTGAAATGTCAAGAATGTTCATAAGACACAGTATGAGATAAAATCAACATGTTAACATAAACATTATAGAGAAGAAGAAAGAAGAAATGTTTTATTCCTTGTCAATATTATTTATGAAAAGAAAAATTCTGTTAAAAAATAATTGATACAAGCACGTGTTGATGAACATATAGCTTGAAAAGAAGTCAAGTGTATTTTAGTTATAGAAAATAAGATCAATTAGACAAAATAGTCTCATTATAAATATTATTTTAGTCACTGTTATGATCATAAATATCTAATAGATTTTATGGAAACATAAAAATATCAAAAGTGACTTTTATTATGTATACTGAATAGAAAATATTTGGACATAAATGAGTACACAATAGGGATGTCATTCCATTTGGCTAAATTATTTTTTAAACGTTACCTATAGAAAACAAAATAAAAATATTGAATTCTTTAACATTTATTTCTTTTCTTTTTAGATTTAAATCTGTCATCAACATCTGCCATTTGAATATGATGGCATGATGACAGTTGTTCATGTTTCAAGTAATAGTTTGTTTTCTAATATTTTTATGTTATATCGTTTGATTTTCTTTTTTTTTCAAATCACATTGTACAATGTAATAGGTAAACATGAATAACAGTGTCAGATTTTAGATTTTAATAAAATGTCACAGATTGAAAATGTGATTTTGATATTGTAAACATTTATCTTTCTCTTTCATTTAAAAATTTTTGTGTATATCATTAAATATCGTGCTACTGCTGTTCTTTATACTATCATTAGAATGTTTTTATATAGAAAAGAATGGTGTGTTTTCTTACACCTGTAATCATCCCTCAATTGTATCAGATGTCGTCAAAATAAACAGTGTGTATTATTTTTTGTTTGATCATTGATGCAAGAAACAATAACAACTTACTCAAAACTGTTAAATTAAATTTTCGTATCACATGTTCACCAACTTTACACAAATATTCGCCGACATCATCTTCTGTTACTTCATTAATATTAATCGTATATGTCCAAGCATAAGTACGTTCAGTCACATAACGATTAGGTAACCATGAATCACCACCATTTGAATCGTCTATTAAACGACCATAGGGACCATAAAAATCAGCCTAAAAATAACAATAGAGACAAAAAATAAAAGTACATTAGATAATTTTTATCATAAATTGATAGAATAAAAAAAATATGAAGAAAGAAAAAAAAAAATTGATCCTCGTAATGATAAGAGACTTAAAAATATCGTTATGTTGAAAAACGTTTTTGAAAAAAAAAAATCTTTCAGATAGATTCGCATGAAAAAATCTCTCTCTCTCTCTCTTCATAACAATGAATTCTATAAAGTTAATTTCATTTATTTTTGTCATTTTTTTCTTCTTCTTCTTTTTATGTGAAAATTAAGACTTTCCCTCACGTAATCGTTATTATTCATACAAATTGCATGCTATTTTAATGATTAATGAGCTAGCCACTATAAACTTCTCTTCTTCTTTCATTTTTTATCCGTATTATGTTTAGAATAATAGTATATATAACACAATTATCTAAATTTTTGTTGGTAGATGTGTTTTGCATGCAAGCAATTTCTTTTTTGTATGCCCACGAGTTTTGAAGTTATAACCAGATCTAGTCAAAATTTTACCATGAACTTTCTTTTCTAGATTAAACAATTGCCTGTCGCTATTCTTCTTCACAATTTATTTGTTATTATGAGTTGATCATTTGTAATGCTAATTTGTCTATTATTATTATTACGCAAACTATAAAAGACAAATTTCTATCAGATGAACACGACTGAGTGTGTGTCCAGAAATAAGATCTTTGTCTCTTTCTCTATAAAAGCATTAGAGATATCAAATTCTTCTTTTTGTTCTTGTTTATTATAAAAAAAAAGAATTGATCAAGATAACATATTTAATGGATACATCATCTTGATGATGGTAGTGATAATGGTAGCAGTAGAATATTATTTTTAAAATTAAATGATCCATTTTTCTCAAATCAAAAGATATAAACGATGTATTTTTTCATACTTTTGATAAAGTATAATGTTTTGATAATACATTTGAGTATATCGTATTTAGTTGTCCATATTAGAATATTAAAAATTCAATCGACAAATTAGAACAAGAATGAGAACTATAGTAAATAAACACACACATATTCTCTCTCAATTCTACATTGTGACCAAGTTCACTTCGTTTTCTTTTTAAAAGAAATTATATAAATTTTTAATTAATCGTAAGAATATGGAGTACAGTCACACATATGTGAACTGATAAATAATTTTGTCAGTAGATAAATTCAATTTGTATTGTAGATCACGTAAAGACAAAGAAAAACATCAACTATTATTGTGAAGAAAATATAAATCTACCAGCTGTTTTTACAAGCAAAGACAATAGTTGAGATCAAAAAGTTTTTTGATGTATGTTAAAGATTATATGCATATAGACATTGTTGTTGTTCTCAATGTGATACAAATGAAATAATGGTAATGTAAAGATATGTATATCAACTAGAGTCCTTGGTAAAAACTGACAATATTAATATTTACATATGTAAATGAATGAACAAATGATAGAGGATCTAAATCAAATAAACAATCTATATGCAGTTAAGGAGGGAAATGATGACCATGCAAAAAAAAATTAATGAATAATGTAGAGAGAAAGAGAGAGAAGAAAATATTCATCATTATCAATAAAAATTCATTTTATCACGCCAGTCAAACAAACAACAAATAAACTAGATGAAGATATGGAGAAATCTTTATACAAACATTTTATTGAATACAATCGATCTTTTATTTTTTTTTCTCTTCTTCTTCTTGCTATTATCTCTCTGTAATGGTATTTTGTAAACAAACAAGAAAAAAAGCACATATCACTGAACGATTTAAATGGTAGTAGTGTTGGTGATCACGTAATGCACACACGAATAACATACACACACACACGATTGATTACATAGTAAACATTTTTAAAAAAGAAAAAGATAAGTGGTACTAAACTAACATTTTATATACTAATTGATGTTTACAATTCTTATGAAAGACTGATTTTATATAGAATTGAATGAAAATCTTTATAACTCGACCTATCATATTGGACTAGAATATTCAAAATCTATGATCTAATTTTAATTCACTTTTTATTCATGTTAATTAATCAAAATTATTTTTTAAATCTAGATATACTTACTCTTTTTCCGGAATATTTTTCAGGTAAATCACAAACAAATTTTGCTGATTGACCACTATTTGCTGATATATTTTCTGAATCAATTTCATTTCCATCTTCACTAGGATTATCATAATCATTCTCATGTTGTTGTTGTTTTGATGATGATGATGATAATAACAGAGAAGGATGTTGCCGCGATAATTGAAATAGAAATGTTGTCATTGTAAAATAAGTATATAATAATCTAGTATGAATATACATCGCAAATGTTAGAAATATCGTCATGTAGATAATGTTAGATGGTAATATAGCACAATCATAATAATATTTAGCAGGTATATCGTTGAAAATTCTATAAAAAAAGAAAAAGACGAACAAATTTTAAATACACATCATCATCATCAAATTACCGTATCGACACAAGAAATAAAAATGTAATATTAATTGTGAGTATAGTGAAAAATTTATTTTTTAATGAATAAATGCTTGATTCTTGTCCTTTAATAATAATAATAATAATAATAATGAAAAGGACGGTCGGAAGTGGTTTTTATGATTATACAAAAGAAACAAAAAGAAAAAAAATGAGAAGAGAGAGACAGAGAGAGAGAGAGAGAGAACAAAATAGAAGAGAAGAAAAAAATGGTTTATTTTGCGGAAAAAAAAAAGAAAGAAACAAAACAAACATATTTGTACATTTTACTTTTTTTCTGAAATGAACTTTTTACTATTCGTTTTTTTTTGGAAAATATTTTCTATAAAGCGGCTAAATTGTTTTTGAACATTTTTTTTTCTTCTTTTCTCGTTTATTCCACACACCGTGACTGAGATGAAGAATAAATCTCAGCAATTCTTCATTTCTTTTTTTTTGCTGTGATTTATTATAATACTATTAAAGCTTTTTCTTCGTTTCTTTTGCTCTTTCTCTCTCTCTCTCTCTCTTCTCTTTCGTTCATGCGACTTTTTATACAATTACGTTTTTTTTTTATCAGAGTGGGTTCTGCGCTCTCTGTCTCTCTCTAACCCGTTCCTCCGTTTCTCTTGTTCAAATTCTCTATAATTTCACACTCGTATAAATCAAGGGTGCATAATTATACGCGTTCAAGAAAAAGAAAGACTCTCTATACAGTTCGAAGATTGAAGAAATATAATAACGAGCATGTACAAATAGAAAGAAAAAGAGAGAAAGAGAGAATCTCGTTCACTTTTGATTGTCTGCGTGTCATGTGTTTCAAGGTAATAATAAATAGAGAAAAAATAGATTGAGAGTTGACTTGAACAAATTGAAAAAAAGAAAGAAAATTAATTATTTGACAAGAGATCATAAGTCATCAATAGTCGTCAGATATAAACGTTGATGTTCAAAAGATAAGTTCCTTGTTTCATTATGAAATGCTTCTTAACGCGTTTACCTTTATGTCAAATGTATCTTATTTACTTGTCTAACCTCGAATATTTATATTTGATCTGTATGACTAGAAAATAGTCGGAAAAAAACAATTTATTAGATAGAAGAAAGATCCCGTTTATAAGAGATTTAGTGTATAATGCAATAATGGAAATAAAATTGATGTATAGTCGAGAGATAAATAAATTTGATTTACGTGTATGTTGTCTACATTAAGATGTATAGAAAACCTTGAAAGACAATTATTATTATTATTATTATTATTATGTGTTTGTCAAAAATTAACCATGGCATGTATAATACGCATTGATAAATGAAGTAAACATGTAAAAAAACAACAGAAGAAGCTTACTAAAATTGATTTGTCTTTGAATAATCTCATCTGCAAAACATTCATTTGCCTATAGAGAGAGAGAAAGAGAGAAAGAGAAAGAATCATCGAAACAATGAAAATAATTAGTTTCAGGTGCAGATATACCTCTTTAAGATAAAAAATAGAGAGAGTGTGAGTGAAAGGATGAAATAAAATCAAGTATCTTGACAATATCTTTACAATAATTGTTTTTGTTTGAGAAATCAATTTAGTGATTCTAGACCTTCGTCTAATAAAATTCGACAATACTCACGCACTCTATCCTTCTCTTTTTTCTTCTTCTTCTTTTCTAAAAATTATTCGCAATCGGAACTAATACAAATTACAAGGACTAGTTGACTATTATTACAAAGAAATTAAAGTGCACTTTATAATGTGTCCTGTTTTTTAGATTTTTTTTTTTTTAAAATATTTTATAATATAATACAACTAGTATACAGATACATAGAGCTATTTTATCTCACTTGGATAAGTAACATGAAAAAAAACCTAGAGAAGAATGTTATATTCTTCTTTTTAAACAAACGTTTCATGGGTAGGTGTTCTCTTTTTTTTTTTTTAAGATATGAAATAGAGAAAAAAAAGCAATTAAACAATATTTTGCGTGATTTTTTTTTGTATAACTGAATGTTTTATTCTTATCAAAATAATTTGTATATCTCCTACCTTGCTGACCTTCTCTTAATCAAAATAGTAGAAAAGAAAGAAAAGTATTTGGACAAATTAATTGAGTAGTACTATTCTATTTTTTAAATTGAGATATTACAACACTAAACAATACAAACAACGTATGACTATGATTCAAATAGGAGTTATCAGTTTAGTTTTTGATTAAGTTCATTCAATAGACAGTTATAGTAAATGAATATTAGACGAGAAGATAATCGGTTTTGACAAGTTTTATCAAACGTTAAAAATAGTGATCGATGACAACATGCAAATGTCCATCTATTATTATAGAATTAAACATTGAACAATTTATTCAAATGAGTGAGAGTGCGTGCTAAACGAAAAACGTAGGGATAGCGCGCAGACACAAAAAAAATGAAGTTTATATGGAAGGGGAGGATTTATAACTTGTAAGAGTAGCAATATAAATTTCAAAAAAATTTTCGCCGCAGAGATGATATAAAAAGTGTAGAAAAAAGGTTTTTTTTCTCTCTTTTTTTTTTTTCTTCTCCAAAGGAAAAATTTCTTACTTTTGTACTATATTTTTCCATGAAATTAATTCGTTACATCATAGTCGAAATATTCTTCATAATTTCAAAAGAATAACAGATCAGAAATATCTTTAAATCAAATAATATAAATATGAAAAAGAAAAACAGAAACATCGATATTATTATCTACTATTATTTTAGTGAACGATGTTTTGTTTTTTCTTATTTGCCCCTTATGTTGTAATTAATTCAAAAAAATAAAACAAAAATCAACAATAAGCAAGAAATAATAATTTTATAAACAGTTTTGGATGTGTATTCTTATCGCTGAAAAGACGGTGGTGAACATTAACAGATTACGAATACAAGACAAAGACAATGTCTCGAACAATTTTTAGTTGAAAATATGAGTTTCTAGAAGATCATTTTTTTTATGTTAAACAAGTTTGTAAAAAAACATCAAAAAAATTGTTTTCTTCGATTATTCCATATAGAACGTGCTCATTCTTTATGTTACAAAGAAAAAAGTTGTTCTTCATCTCAATTTTATATTACACAGATTCATTCTATTTCACGATTATTGATACGTCTACTAGTTTGAAATCAGAATTGATGTTTGGTAATCGTTTTAGAATTCGTTTCTGTGTTGTTTTTTTTATTGGAAAAAGAGATTTATTTTTAAAACCAAGAATAATGACGGCGATGGAAAAATTTGATGGTCTCTGTGCAGAAAGTGTTGCAGTTCAAACTGCTGAAAAAAGAGCAAAACGGAGATTACGATAGATAACATAGAACAACTAAATAATTATTAGCTTAATGTTGAGTAATAATTATAATTCACTAACTTTCTGTTGTATCTGAAAAACTTTGTTTTCTCATTGACTGTATAGATATAGATATATCAAACATCAGAAGACAATGGAATTAGTGTGATTAATTTCAAACAATGTACTAATATTTTAATATATACTCATTGTTTTCTCTCTTTTTATATAATACAAAAGAAGTTGAAATAAAAATAAAAATTAATTAACATATACATTATTTTCATTTAATAGTCTCACCGCCATTCGCCTTTCTAGAATGACTTTTGTTTAAACTCTAAATCTATTAATATACGATTAATAACTATACAGTCTCTCTCCAAATTAATTGACTACATATTCAATTTATACGTAAAATATTCTATATCCGGTTTCTCAATTCTTACAATTATAATTACCACTTTATGTGTGGATGTCTACGTTTGAAGTTAATCTCGATAATAGTTATGCATGAAACAATATTCAAGAAGAGGAAGTAAGGTGATTAATTTTTCATATTTTCTTTAAAAAAAAAAGTTGAATTTGTCTATGTCTAATTACATGACTGTCGTCGGTGATGAATACACACCATATGAAAAACTAAAGAAAAAAAAAAAGAAAAAAAAGGGAGGATATGTCATGCTGTTTAGTCTAATTCTAAACGACCTAGTCTAAATAAAAATTTAAACACATTTTCTAGTTGAATTAGAAGAAAGAATTAAAATTATAAGTGTGTTACATGTCGAATAAGAAGAAATTTAACGAATGCATTAACATGACTGGATTACGACCATTTAGTGGTATTAAAATCGTATTCTTTCGTGCCATGTCTTTATTTTATATTGTGCCTGATATTCAAAACTTACTCATTTTATTTATTAACCTTGTTTTCAATGATTTATCTAATTTAATGTGATGAACATATTTCAAGCAAAGTACTCCAGCTCAAATACCTGAATACTTTAGCTGACGTATTAATAAATATTTTTTACTCTTTTATCTAGATTCTCTAGATGAGGTACTGAGTTTGCTGGCTGCATGTCTCAATGTATTGCTCAATACATCAACATGCACTAAGTTAACCCTTTAAAGTCCAATGTCCATATTACCATTATCGTTATAACAAATTAAGGAAGCATTGTTGGGAAAAACTGATCGTATATCGATTGTAGAGAATTAAATTGACTATCAAACAGCAAAAAAAAAATTTGTTTATGTTGTATGCTAGCTGAGATATTTAAATTTTAAAATGAAGAAAATTTAGAAAAAATTCACTTTTTTTAATTTACTTTTTTCAAATACTTTAGAAAAGGCTGTTTGTTCAATGACTTTTCAGAAATATGTAGGGAGATGTGCTCTTTCAAATTATGTCAGCTGAATAAATTTTTGTTGGAAACTGTAGGCTGATGGTACATAAGCTGTTGACCCAAAATCAAGCGTTGAAGCCTTGGGGACTTAAAGGGTTAAGCCCAATGAAAATGCTAATTCGTGGACAATGTTAACTAGTTGCATCGAGCGAAACATTTATCTGCATCTAGATTCATTGACCAGTAAATTGGCCACCGTGATGCATTCAGCGATGTTCAGTGCTTTTTCCGCTCTTGGGATAGTCATTGCATTTACTTTTTAAAATTTGTACAAAGAAAAATGACTGATTCTCCCTCTCTAATCATCTCTACTATGGTCGAATATGACAGTGAGGAAGCATATCCCGATCGGGATATCTGGTTTTTTGTATATCCCAATCGGAATATAGTTTCCTTATACTAGAGTCGTAGTTTAAAACGGTCAAAAACTGGGTAATGTGACACTTGTAGTGCAGAGATGTTATAGAACATAATACATCAGCAACCAGAACTTGAGTGATGAAAACGCTTCGGCATTTTTAAAACTTGAACTTTTGAGCGACATTTTTCTATCCAAAAACTTTTTCTGTAAACAGTGTTGTTCACGTCGCTGCATGTCTATCACAGTGGAAGAGCGTGACTTTATCTAAATATTTTCACTGGATGTATGTCCAGAGTAACGTCGAGAAAATGTTAAAAGTAGCTAGAAGACAAAGTAAAATATCCTGCTCGAGATATAGAATGTGATCCTCAAGAATTATTTAAAAAAGGTGGCTGACTCGAAAAAAGACTCGGTTACAAGAAAAAACGAATCTGATGCCGTTTTTTGCGCTCTTTTCCGTGGTATGGTAAAAACTTTCCGTGAACATCAGCAATTTTTCGCTAACCAATTTTATTTAAAAAAATCGAACTTATATCTCGATTGGACTATAGTTTTTTTACTATATCCCAATCGAGATAGACAGCATGCATCTGTATTGTATGAGTATAAGTGAAAAGGCGATGCATACAATAACATATATATATAGATATATCAAAACGTTTATTCTTATACTCGTACTCAGACATTTATGCCATCAGGATGCTAATCTTCTAGTGTGAATGTGAATCAGTGCCCATGCGCTATTTTTTATCATTAATCGCTTGATCATCCGATAATAAATACATAAAAACTAATTTTATTCTCTAATATGAATACTTCAGTACGGTTCAATGCTCTTTGTATCAGCTGCAAATCATATCTACTATGTTATCGGTACATACTAAAAATCAGTGGCATATTAAGTGTGGATTCGAATTCGACAAATATTTGAAATATTATCGAACAAATTTTAAAAGTTGCCATCATAAGTCAATTGAATAAGAAATGATTTGTTATTTCACGCAGCAAGGATATCATATTTTAGTATCTCATATTTCGTTAAATACAAAGGGAAACTTTTTCACTATTGACGACTATTATTTCAAAATATTTTGAATTCAAACAATATTTATTTATTAAATTTTATTTAAAATAAAGACACTAAAAAATTTATCTGTCTAGTTTATAAATAATTTTACAGATCAAAGAAAAAAAATAAATTAGACGTTTTATACACATGAATATAAAACTTGAATAGTAAATTTTACATGTCATAATCGAGCGATACGCACTACGCCAGATGATGCTTTGCTGGATGTTAACGCTAATCGTTGCAGAGTTGGAACCGGATCGGTATCGGGTTGGCCGTTAACGGCCGATCCGATTAAACTTTTCAATCGGCCGTTTTTTACCGATTTATCTTTATAAAACTTTTTTAGTGTTTTCCTTCTTTTCAAATCACTTTTTCAGTAAAAAGAATTTCAAAAAGAAAATTTGCTTTTTTTCGTGTAAATTTCAATAGCAGAAACAAAATTGACTTTTACTTTCCCCTAATAACACTATAGTTTTAAGAAGGGTTTGAAGGAAAATTCAGCTATGCATTCAACAAGTAATTAGGCATATACATGTATTTCTGAACACATAGTAATTAGTTACGACTTATTCATTTTTCTTTATTTTTTCTGCTTTGTCCACAAAATAGTATAAAGAAATATATCGGTCAGAACTGTTCGTGTTGTGAAAGTGTGTATATGAGTATCTTATTCTCATTGTCATATTTCAACGTCAAAGGCATCTCCATCAGACAAAATAGAGCAAAATGAACAAAAATATAATTAGTTGGACTATGCATATCTGATGGTTACAAGGACACACTGTGTGTTTTAGTGGCATAGACCACAGAAAAACAAATATCATTAGAAAATAATCAAACTTTTTTAGGCCGGTTATTATCGATTTAGAAAAACTTTTTAATCGGCCGTTAACGGTCGATCCGATCCGATTGCGTTTTTTTCAAACGGTTCCAACTCTGGATCGTTCTAAATGAGGTGATGCTTGTGAATCAGAACGTATAAATGATGATTGACGATGTGATGGTGAACTCATTTCATTTGTTTGGGTGTAGTGTATCGTATTCGGGCCGTATTGATTTGCTCCGCTAAAGCTGAATTCTCCACTTATTTCTCCCACAGTAGATGGTCTGTCATTCAGTACTGGTACATTGATATGCACGTGTTTTTTGGCTAATTGTGTAATAGCCGATGTTTCAGCAACAAAATCATAAGGTACTATCCAATTCAAACTACCATCAAAATGCGTATCTTGATCAGGCGTATGAAAAATTGGTAAAAGTAACAAGGCACCGGTAAACAGACCACCAACAATAGCCATGCCAAGCGTTAAGAACAAAGCGGCTGCTTGATATGCAACTTGAAGGTGAACTGGACGATTCACTCCACCACCATAACATTGTGCAGATAAACCTTCTGTATATAAAGATTTTCATAGCATGGATGCCAAAATAATACCAGCTAAAAAAGGAGAAAATAATCAATTGTTAATACCCTTACTGATAGTCTTATGGATTTCTTAAATACTAACCTAAACCCGACAATACACCAGGCATTCCATGAAGATTATGCACACCACATGTATCGTGAATATGAAGTCTCAAACGTTCTAATAAATGCTTATAGCCAACTGTTGAAATAATACCAGCCAAAGAGCCAATGATCATTGCTCCAAACAGACCGATATTTTTATTTACTACACACCCCACAGCTATGCCGCCAGCCAGTGTTGCATTTTGAATATGAATTATTTCCTTTTTGCCTTTCCCAAGAAAAGCAGACATAATGAACGTACATAACACAGAAGAACATATAGAAATATACGTATTCGTAACTGCGCGTAGTCGACCGTCGCCATAAGCCGTTCCAGCATAGAAACTCGGCTAAAATAAAAACAATATTATCAACATAAATTAAATAAATTTCACAAAAAACCTACCCAAAACAAAACAAAAACAATGTTCCAACCATACTAAATATATCTGACGCATAACTTGATCCTTCTTTAGCCGATTCTCATACATCATCTTTATGTAAAACGAAAGCAACAGCTAGTCCAAAATAGGCTCCAAATATATGAACATCCACCTTTGTACATCCACTCCAAATACATGTCGATTTGCATCTCAATCGAACACGTAACCACGAATAATAATGACCCATTCGAGTACAAATGCAGTGATTAAAAAATTAAAACAAACAGCTGAAAAACTATAACGTTTTAAAAATGTCACCCAAAATGTCAATCAAAAACCAATAACCATCATAACATGAACATCTTGAAACATCGGATAAAATGAGTCAACATCAGCTCGTTCGGGTGGTTCATCAAATGTTTCTGCAATAACATGTCCGCTAGAATCTCTCTGTCTCAAGTTATATTCCGAATGAACACCAAATAGAATAATAAATACGATTTGTAATATCAGCAGTAATACAGAGAAAAAATATCGTCGAAAATTATTTATTTCAAGATCGTAATAAATTTCTTTCCATCGAAAATCAAACATTTTTTCTTATAATCTAAAATAAACAAATAAAAATTGATCACTTTACCAGTGAAGATTGAAGAGTTTTATTGAAAATCCGTAACATTTCAATGTGTACTATTTTTTGTTCGATCAAAAATGCGTTGTTTTTTTGAAATAACATATTTAATATAATATAGTATAGAAAACATCGAATAATCATGTTTTGATTTCTACATAGTGATTTGAAAATATATATTTTCACTTTTTTATGAATAATAATGGCGAGTTACTTAGTATTTTGAAGACTATTATTTATAATTTAGTGTTAGTTTTAGAACAATAAAAGTCACTATTATTTTCATCTACTAACTAACCTATACCGGGTCATCATTTAATAATGTAGAACAAAAATAATAATTTTATTTTTCTTTCAAATCGTGTGATGATCATGTTATATATTCTATTGCACTAAAACTAACAAAACAGTAGTGCTATCGATGTAATGTCATTTTCGTTTTTCTCGTCACGGTTAGAAGACAATAATAAAAATTAGTACTAACAATACCGCTATTCTTACCTATCTACCGTATCCCGTCAATTTAAAAGAGACATAGCGTAACAATTTCATCCTCGATGTAAGTCTAAAAAGTGCTGAAAGAATAAAATGGTGAACGAAAACAACGCTGCACTGACTTTTCCTCTTTCTTCACAAACAACGCTGCACTGACTTTTCCTCTTTCTTCACACGGCAAACGAGAAAAAGAGAATATCTATCGTTGATAGATATCTTGAAGATGTCCGTCGTGCATGTGCGAGAAGAGATATCTCCAATTTTGCTAGATGCCTAATTTGATATTTCAATTTATTCAGCAATCATTAACTTCGATATTTTTCCCTATTTTTCTCTAGAAGAACAATTTTTTATTTCTATTGGAACTGCGGACAACGAACAAAACAAAAATCGAGAAAATTTTCGGCAAAATTTAATCTTTTTGATAACTTGAATGAATTTAATCATTAGAAAGAAAAAACTTTATTGCAATGTTAAGAAAATATCCTAAAAATACTCGATCGTTGTAAAGAGTTGCTTAAATTTTCCTAGTATTCAAATGAGGTACAAATATTTTTCTATCTATACGATATTTATGAAATGAACGACGAATAGCATTTTCTTTCTGGGATCCCATTATAGTTTTTCTAAAAGAGTCCTCGTTTTGAGATAAAATCTATATTTCTCCTTCCCACTCTAACCCTCAAAACAAACATCATATTCGAAATTCAGTTCATCGAAATTTATTGAAGAATGTTTAAGACGATTATTCATCAAGGATAATTTTATAAGATTTTTGGTCTTGATCTCTTGCTCAAGTGTTTTTTTACAAAAGCCATTCATTTTGTAATTGAATTCATTTTTACCTCGCCAATTATCAGACGTATCAGTGAGTTTATCCCGAAGGTCATGTTCGTCTACCAAACTAAAAATGGCCACTATGTAGAATTAATTAGACTCCTCTGCTCATTACTTTAATCAAATATATCTTAAAAAATAGCAGAAATACATCTTCTAATATGCCTATAGAGGAGATGAAGAGAAAAAATTTTCAAAAATTTACACAAAGAACATGCTCTTTATATAGAGTTATTACTGGAAAATAAAAAGATGAAAGACGGAGTGTACAGAAAATCCTGCTGAAGGACTCCAGTCTTACTACAACTTCTCAAGTGAAGTAGCCGCATATCACGGAAACGAATGTAAAAAAATTTCGCAAAATGCTTTAACCTTTATAACCGGATTATAGTAGCCTTTCTACAGAGATTTTTTTTTATCTGAAGGATGAGAAAATCAAACACATTCCGTCAACATCATATTAAAAACCCGTGCATGCAAGCAAGTATCTTAGTTCTGTATGTACTCAGTCCATTGAGAAAAGAATATTGTTTTCAGAGAACGCAAGAAAAAAAAGTTCTGCTGGGAAAAATCGATTTAGTTTGGTTTTTTTTGGGGGGGAGGGGTGTCGCACCCCTCACACACACCTCCAGTAACGTCAACGCTGAATGTACTGTTTACTGAATAGTAACTTATACTTCGACATTAAATAAACAGAAAGCAAAATGTAATTACTGTACGTTCTTTTATCTAGTTAATTCTAGTATGAAACAATCTTGGATCTGAAAAACAACATTGAATCGATTTAGAAGCAAAAATTGAAGAGTGATAGACAATGGAACAGAAGCTAATTACAAATTTCAATACTATAGCTTTTTTAATTTTCTAGTTCTGTAGCAAGTGAATCACGTGACAATTAATGATCTCATAGCAGAAACGATAGAGTTTTGTAAAAACTATACTCATTTTATGACACGTATTATAGGATAACTAAAGCAAATATTCGAAAAATAACTTGTGATATGTCATCTACAATGGCTGCACTTTGGAAACCTCTTTTCCCGAAATCGTATGATCAGAGGTAACCGAGAACGAATGTCTGACTCGAACACGAAAACACAGTGTGGAGAGAAAGAAAGAAGAATTTTGCTAGGCAATGCTAGAAACTAAACAGAATAAGTCTCCCTATCGTTTCACTCAGTCAACTTAAAGAAGAATCTTTTGTAGTGAAATAGAATAAGCCTCTCCGAGTTCCACTCGGTCGGCTTAAAGAAGAACTAGATGCCAACTATGCTGCGCATAGATTGGAAAGTCGACTGAGTGAAACAGTAAATAGACGCAATTAGAACATATACAAACTGAGAACAGTTTCACTATTTTTCAAGAAGAATTCTTATATTCCTATATCAGCTGATTCATTATCGTGTCATATGTTCTACTATAGTATAGCTTTCATCATATCCAGTACTGTAGCAGATATTCACTATGAAAAATAATGAGGCGTCGACATAGGCGGCGCCCCATAGTAGCGAGGGGTAGCAATTGCTACCCCTATAGAAAATTAGGGGTAGGAATAGAAAGTTATTGCTAGCCCTAATAACATATATTCTGGGAGTTGTTAGAAGAAGTGGGAACTGAGAGTTGTTAGAAGAAGTGGGAACTGGGAGTTGTTAGAAGAAGTGGAAACCGGGAGTTGTTATTATTTATTAAAATTATGAGTTTAAAAAATTTATTGCTACCCCTAGGAACTTTAACTTGCGCCACCTATGGGCGCCGTCAAGACGTGTCTTGCTAATTAACTACTCTTTTTTACGTGAAGTATTGAAAGTATTGTATTAAATCTATTAAAAAACTCTAAATTTCTTCATGATCTATCGGGGAAAACGTGCAATTCTGCTCGCACGAACTACAGTCATGGAGGACGCACCTCCAGATGGTGGTGCGGTTTGAAAGAAGCCAAAAACAGCATCACGGCGTCAGCAACAACGAAAAGATACGTCTAATAACAACATCTCTAATAAACAATCCCTAAATCACCAATCACAACAACCAATGTCGAAATTAGCACCTCTGATACTACAAGGTGCAAAATTAGATCGTTACGACTTAAATAAAATCATTAAAACTCACTTTCCAACTGTTCGATTGACAGACATTCAATGTAACAAAAATGGAACGCTAACGATGCTTGCAGCTGATGTCAAAAGTTTCAACGACATTTCACTCAAATTACCGAAACAGAAATTTTCGATAATGCAAGAAACATGCAGGTGTTCATACCACGTACAATACAGCGTGTTATGGGCACAGAAATACAGGCGTTTTTAAAAAACGTCGATGTACGAATTACAATAGATGAAATTGAACAAGCACTGACGTCAGTCGGACTTCTAGTCGAAAAGGTTGAACGTCTAAAAAATCACGCAAAACAGCATGATGGTACGACAGTTAAAGTAACATTTGCCGACGTTTTTAATCGTAATATGATCGTCAGAACAGAGCTACAAACTGATCATATGTTTATCGCTGTCGAGGCTGCAAAATTTACAACAAAACTGACTCAGTATTTCATCTGTTTAGGGTATGGTCACATTAATAAGTACTACCGTGATAAACAGCAAATTTGTTCGAGATGTGCTGGCTCGCATGATGTGAAAAATTGCACAGAAGCTGACAGTGTCAACATCGGCATCTCTGGCTGAAACCAATATCAAATGTAAAAATTACAGTGGACATCATCATGCTACTGATAGTAAATGTCCGAAATATCAAGAACAGATGAAAAAACTAAAGACAACCGTTGATGACTATTCAACAAGTACTTCAAACAAGCAGCGTTCGTCACCTAATCTTACAGATTTGCATGCGTTTCCATCATTAGACGGTGGACGTCAACAAAACTCGTCGTCGTCGTCTTTAAACAAAGACAATCTCGTCGAAGAAGTTTTTCGAAAAGTTATGTCAGAAATTGAGCCAGTTCTCAACGGAATTTCAGACAGATTAGATTCAAAGTTACCCACTCTATTTTCATCACTATCTATTCCGTCCACCAAAGCACAATATAATCAAAATCCGCATCAATACCACGATGTTGATTTTGAAACAGAAGACGAATATATTAATCAAGATGGTGATGAAGATGAAGGTTATAAGAGTTTTGAGATGAAGGAAATTTTCACTTCTACTTCCGCAGGCAAGTAACTGTGTAGAAGTAAACCTTAAACCTTAAACGATTTCAACCAGACAAAACACGAAGTTCTTGTGGGGAAACACCGATAACTGCAATAAGAAAGTTGAAGTTCTTGTGCACAAACACCGATTTCTAGAGGAAAAAACATGAATTTCTCGTGGAGAAACACCGACTGCTAGAGGAAAGAACATGAAGTTCTTGTGGAGAAACACCGATTTCAACGGGAAAAGACATGCAGTTCTTTGGTAGAAGCACCGAGTGCTAGAGGAAAAAACATGCAGTTCTTGTGGAATAAGATCGATTTCTGCAGAAAAAAACGTGAAGTTCTAGTTGAGAAATACAGATTTCTTCGGGAAAGAACATGTAGTTTCGGTGGAGGAACACGGCTTTTTCCAGGAAAAAACATGTCACTCGTGTGGAGAAACACTGCTTTCTTCAGGAAAAAACAGGAAAGTCTTGTGGACGAACAGCGATTTCTTCAGAAGACAACGTCAAGTTCTTGTAGAGAAGCGGCGATTTCTTTCGAGAAAAACGTGATTATCTCGCGGAGGCACAGCGACTTCTGGACGAAAAAACATCAAACACAGCTATGGAGGACAAACAGCTATTTCTGCACGAAAAAACATGCAGTTCTTGTGGAGAAACGGAGATTTATTTAGGAAGAAAGACGAGGTTCTTGTTGAGAAGCACACATTTCTTCAGGAAAAACCAGGAACTTTGTGTGATGCAACACACATTTCTTCCGAAAAAAACATGAACTTCTTGGGGAGAAACACGGATTTCATCAGGAAAAAACATGAAGTTGTTGTGGAGAAACACAAATTTCTTCTGGAAAACTTTATTGTTCGGATATATTTCAGTTATTAAGTAATAAGTACGAAAATTTCAGCATATTTTCAATGACTTTTCTATGAGATAATTTATTGTCACGTGACACGTCATATACATTCAGTATGAAGAGTGATTCTTTAAGAAGTCACGTTTATTCTTTGAACGACTAATCTTAATTTTTGTCGAATATGAATAATTCTCTGAATGTGTCGCTCATGCAATCACATTGTAGCTATGAAATATGTCAGACAGCGGAGTGAGACAAATTCCCACTAATATCGAAGAGCTAAATGCAAAAATTAAAAACATTTTTTGTAACATTGCTGCAAATAATCGAATCTCTAGCAAGAGCAACTCATAACACGATTAACAATCTGAGAAATATAGTTTTTACAATAAGTTGAAAAATCAAAGGAAAAAGACAAGAGAGGCATTTCAATTCTTCAAAAACTTGTATCAAATAAAGACGAAGAGCTCAGAAAACCTATTACGAATTTCTAAGAACTGATTATTATGACAAAATTGAAAAGTACTTAGAGAATAACGATCATTTCCAACGCAAAATTTCGTTGATGAGTCGCTGCTGAATTCAAATCATCGGTGCATCTTGTTTGCAAAGTTGTCACTATCCAAACACTTGCTTGTACATGGAAGATAGCAATAATAAAAATCAATATAATCATTTACTATCGATCATGTTGCATGGTATTTGCAGTGGATCATCATTTAAACGCTTTATTTGCTTGATGTGTGCTGTATATATATACTCTCTCATAGCATATATGCTATTATCTGATAAATACTACTGCTGCAAAAGTTTTCTGCAATATTTTGGGAAAAAACGTTTATGAAAAAGGCTTTCTCGGGGCGCGCAGATCGATTTTAAGGTAAAGTTGATATGATGAACATGCAAACTCTGTATAATGAATGGATGAAGCTATGAAACCTACATCAACGGAAAGCGGTGAAGATAACGAACATTTTAGTAAGAAAAGATTTTGAAAAAAACTTTCTCGGGGAGGCAGACCAGTTTTAAGGTAAAGTTGACATGATCAACATGCAAACTCTGTACCTCGGTAATGAATGGATGAAAAAAACTTTTAACTACTAACTCGATAAATCGCTCAAATTGTCAGAATTAACTGTCAAGGAAACTACGCGTATTTTAACTAATAAAAGCACCTATTTCCAGAAAACAGTTGCATCAAGTATTTCGTACGGTTCACTCGATTTCATAACAGAGACAGTAAGGTTCGGCCGACTTGGGCCTATACATGAGACTTGAACCTGGAAAGCGAACCTGTGATCTGGACTTGACTTGAATCTAGGACCTGTACCTCGGCTCCTAACTGAAGTATCGTTCCAAACGAGCTATTAGCCATCAATCCGACTAGTTGAATTCGTTGCTTACAGTTGTCCGTCAGGCTGAACTCAGTTGAAATTTGCAGGAGAATCGAACGTAACGTTGCTATTGTTGAATGGAGTATTTTTCTTACTTTTTCTGTGTTGCCAAGCGGTAATAGATTATAGCGCTAAATATAAAAACAATAGCACCTGGAACCACTCGCAGAATGTCTCAGGATGAAAGATATGAGATTCAGGTCCGGTTTGGAGCCACAGGTCATAAGTCCACATCTCAGATTCAGGTCCAAATTATAAAAATCCAAGTCCGGACCCAACGCAAAGTTGATCATCTTTGCGAATTAGAGCTTTAATAAGTTAAAAACCTGCAAAAACGATGATGCTTTGAATGAGGTTCGTAACAAACAGGTGAAAAAATGGGCCAAATTTTTTGAAAAATTTTATATCAACCGTTTTCTTACGCAGTTTTTGCTCTTTCTATTGATATATTTTAAAAGAATTTTCATCCATTCATTACTGAGGTACAGCCTTTGCATGTTGATCATGTCAACTTTACCTTAAAATCGATCTGCGCGATCGATCAAAAAATTCGTTATGCTCTCTGCTTTCCGCTGCTATAGTTTTCATAGTTTTAAACCTTCTTGACGGGTCAATAAAACAGTTACATCAGTTGTATTAAAAGTTTTTGCAGCTCTTCGAAAGGTGTCCGAGCATTGATGTCGACCAGCATTGACTACAGACCAGAGTAACCAATATTTTAAAAGTCTTTTTCACGAGTATACTCGGTGGAATGGGCAACATTTTGGTGAAAATCGTTTGCTAATAGATCACCCCACTGCTGAGTTATAGTTAAAACAAGAAAAATTTTGGGTTGTATGGAAAATTTTTGGACCAGTAGTAAATAAAATTAGTATCTAATGGCATTGTAGCTGAACGTTTTTTTCCAAGACAATTAAAGTCCAAATTGGTTTGTCAGCATTACAACTACCACAATGTATGTATAACATATCACATTCTAATTTTTTTCTAAATTTTACTTGGTTTACGATCGAACGTAACAATGTTCGCTCTGGCCAGCCATCTCTGCTACCGGTGTGAAATTCCGTAACGATTTTTTTGCATTTTGTTTTTCTTATAATGTTTGAGTAACGAGACGCCTAGAGATCTAGAATATCACA